GTAACAAAGAAGCTAATAGAAACAAGTGCCACGCTAGTAGTAACAGGTGCCTTACTAGTAGTAACAAAGAAGCTAATAGAAACAAGTGCCACGCTAGTAGTAACAGGTGCCTTACTAGTAGTAACAAAGAAGCTAATAGAAACAAGTGCCACGTTAGTCGTTGTCTTTTCCATACCTCCGCCAACTCGAGACGTCTGACCCTCAACCCACTCGTCTGAGGTAGCCCTGGACACGATGGATTGATGGGTGATTGTTCAGTGGCAAAAAAGGAAAGGTGGGCAAGAGAACAAAGCTGCTCGATCAATTCTCTTTGGATATCGTCTTTGAGGTATGCCACATATAGAAGGGTACAGGCCGCGGTCGCAACATGTTGCTGGTAGAAGGTCGGAGGGTACTGACAGACACTGACAGTAGTTAGTTGCAACAAAGTCACAAGTCTGTTGGCAAGTTCCTACTGTGGTATGGACATGGGTTGCCATCCTTTGGCTCAAGTCTTTTGGATCCAAGTGATTATAGTTGCACGTCGCACTGCACAGTGAACTCTTTCAGCATGCCTTTGCATTCAGGAAGTTGCCAGTACAACATTCAACCAGAGCCGAGTTCACTCCCATCTACACACCTTCTACAATCAAATTTACATAGCTTTCTACGCTTCTCTTTCATTTTTGCCTTGCAGATCTTCAGAAAGCTCCTGTGACGGGAGTTGAGCTGCGCAGCTCATGGCCCCAGCTGATGCAAGTCCTTGGGATGTGATGGAGATCCAGATCCTGCAGGCAACATCCAGCAGTGTGCGATATGGGGCATGTATGAGCATATACGACAATCACACGAGATTACAGGAGGGGTAGATGCGCAGGAGAATCATGGACAATTGACTAAACAGACGCAATTCTTTTGTTTCATGGTTGATATTGGGTGGTAGTTGGTTGTCATGGTCCTCCTGGCAACGGCTGATGAGCCTTTGCTTGTGGTTCAGATAGTGCCCAGAGAAGAGTCGAATTCCACGGCTGGCACATGTCTAAACTTGCGTTTCAACAGACTTTCAAGATCACCAAGCATCCAGATACATTTGGCCATGTCCCGTTAAATGGACCGTTGAGGCCGAGGATGCCTTGAGTCGATTGCGCCGCCAGCTGGCTTTGCAACCGCCTTGTCTCGACAAAGCTATCGAACAGGTTCAGCAGTTGCGGCAGCAGGCTCTAGTGGTGAAGAATTGGATGGGACAATCTTTGCAGCCCAAGCCTGCAGGTTGCAAGCAGTACAATTTTGACGTTTTTACTGTTTTTTCCTGAAAGATACAGATCATGCAGTCAGATCAGCTTGTACCGTAGTATCTTTGGTGCTTCCGCGTGCAGAGGGTTCTTTCAAACTCTTCCGAAGTGCCAACTTGGCTGAGGACCCTGAAGGATCCAAACCATGCTGCTACTTTTGAGTTGGCTCAGTTGAAGCAGACAGCGATGATCCACGAGAAGCAAAGCACGGCATTGAAGCAGGAGAGGCTCTTTTCTTTAGAGTTTATTTGGTCACTCAGACTCAGACAGGTCGTTTTTGAGACGATTACAATGGTTACAATGGACAACTCACTGTTGAAAGATGTTGTCAATGTGTGTTCCCCAAGACAAGTAGCAAGAAGCTAGTGGGTGGAGGCCATCGCTATTGGGTTGGAGGCCATCGCTACCAGTAACAAGAAGCTACTAGTAGCTCCTGCTCGCCCCAGACTGATGAGGATGTGGCGGAGCTTCGAGGGGCCTTGGCCCAAGCCGAGCGCCGAGAGGCGGAGGTGGTGGAGACGCTCCGACGGGCAAAGGCTCGAAATGGACACCTTTTGGTGGAGATGGAAGTACTGCGAGAACTTCAGGAGAGCACCTACTACTGTAGCGATGGCCTCCAACCTAATAGCGATGGCCTACAACCTACTAGCTTCAGGAGAGCCGACCTTTTTCGGGTCCCGGTATAGATGTATACTGGTAGATCAAAAGCAATATATACAAATTATTATATGTTATTATTTATGTTTTATTTTTCGGAAGGCAAATGCCTGTTTTATCAAATTTGAGGGCAGGGCCTGCTCTCCTCTCTCTCTCTCTCTCAAGCTGCCTTGTCGCCCGCCCGAAACAGGGTCGTCCGTTGCCAGAACGGGCCAGTGGTCAAGCAACAAAGGCATAGCAAGTCAAAATATGACCTCACGAAGACAGCTTGGCTGGGTGGGGATAGCTCAAGTTAAAGTAATTTCGATTCTATTTTGTTCTACATCTCCCCCTTTGAATTCCTTCGAGCGGTGTTTTCAGGCCCCTTCAAATCGGAACCAATTTTGACGCATACTTGCGGAAGCCGCTTAGCGGCTAAGCGGAGATTTGTTTGCTGAGCCTCTCGACACACACGCGACTTGAGATCGGATGTACGTACGATATGAATGCCCAACCCTGACGAAACCTGAGTAAGTGAGAAGGCCTAAGAGGTCAGGTAAAAGCAGAACCAGCGCAACGGCCAGCGATCTTGTTCTAGGATGTTCTAGGTACAAAAGGAATCAAAAGAAGCCCAACAGGAAGTGAAAAGGTCATCACTGCAGGTACGTTTTCACGATTTTTGTCGAGCATCTTCGTTGGGCAGCACTCATCAAGATCCCCTGCGCCCCCTGCCGAACTAAACCATTAAGTCATATCAAATCCGCAGATACCCATCATTCCAGGGTGTGCACACACGCACACGCACGCACACTGCGTTTGGGCAAAGTTGTTTCCCAAGCCTTTTTTGTACCAGCAATGTGACACCAATCAACCAATCTTGACTTTTACTTTAAAGCAGTTGTCCATACCTTTTACAAATTGATGCAACATGTAACACGATGCAGCTTAAAGAAGTGGGTTGATGATTCCGTTGGATCATCATGCGCAGGAAATACAACGATTACCACCTCAGCAAGACCTCCAGCCTACGACTAAAAAAGGGTACTGGAGATTCAAGTTCGGAGGCAGACAGCAAGCTCTTTGCCAATCTCAGTGAAGATGGTTTTGCTGCAAGGCTTGCAGAGATGCAGACGCAACTGGAAGATGCAAGAGACAGAGCGACAGATGCAGAGATGGAGTGTGACTCCCTTCGCAAGCAACT